ATAATATATAATATCCAGTATTATAGGACGAAACGGCTGTCCAGTACTTTCTGCATTCTGTTGAGGTTTCTTCTAGACTCGATGAATTATGATTTATATATGTATAATACTATATAATAATAAAATTATTATGTGTATAATACTATAATAATAACACTACTATATAATTTATACTATTAAATTATTATAATACTGTAATAATATTACTATATATATATATATATATATATATATATATATATATATATATATATATATATATGATATTATAAAAACATTTTTAAATATATTTATCTATAAAAAGAACGTATAAACATAAAAAATGTCCCAAAATAATAGTCGGACTTTTTTTATATTTAAATACGCCTTGAGCAGATATGATTGTATGAGAGAAAATCATGGAGAATTGTAGTTTAAAAATAAAAAAAATCGACCTTACTAAGCGAAACTCTCCTTTGCGCCTTAATCGGTAAAAGCACATCAAGCTATATGACGGTTCAGTATTGGATACAGTTTCGATTCATGCCAGAGGACGCATATTTTCTATGAAAATTTCTCGGATATTCTGGCCGGTAAATTTTCTCAATACTGTTTATTATAAACAGAATATTTATTTAAATATTCGTATCTATAAAAAGAACGTATAAACATAAAAAGATGTCTCAACACACACACACACACATATATATATATATATATATATATATATATATATATATATATATACCAATGGTAAAAACATCAGCGCATAATAGACCATCGAACCTAAAGATCATCGTAAAGAAAATTAGAATAAAGCCTACTATCCCATCCCATCGCTTCAGGAGTCTACATTACTTAGTTACTAAGGATGCTATCTCTTTGATGCCGTACGGCTTCATGCATTCATAATGAAAAAAAATATTGTGCACAAGACCAGATAATAATAATAATAATAATAATAATAATAATAATAATAATAATAATAATACAATAAAGATAATAAAGTGGAGATAAGCAAAAAAGTATTCAATAAAGATAAGACAAATTACAGTAGAAGAAGATAAGAAACTGGAACAGAACGATCCGGCCATATTGGCGAAAGATAAAACATAAAAAAGAAAGTATAATCATTGATCTTTTTTATACAAGTATAGAAAAAAGTAAGAAGAGAAAATAATCTTTTGGAAGGTTTTGGAAGTTGAAGAAGTTTGCAATCATACCAGTTGTCATAGAGCACTTGGTACCGTAACTGGCAGATAAGAAACATGGATAAAGAAATTTGTTATTGATTCCCCAGTGGAACTGTTACAGAATGGAAGTCTATTAAGAATGGCAACAATAATGCGAAAAATGATGAACACTTAGAGGAGAATTTTATGGTAGCTAAAACCGTGCTTTAATTAATTAGATGGTAAAGACTTATCCGAGAAAGACTAACCTTAATATAACTAGCTAACTAACTAACTAAATACATAAATAATAATAATAATAATAATAATAATAATAATAATAATAACAATATTATATAATAGAGGTGGAAGAGGTCTTATTCAGCTAGAATTGTCATACAAGACAACAACTATTGGCTTACTAACTTACATGGAAACAACAAATGACTGGATGATAAAATTAGTGAAACAACATGAAAACAGAAAGAAAAAAATATTCAATAATAAAAGAAGGCAGTAAATACAAACAACATTTACATTTAGTAGATTCTGTAGTAAATCAAAACAGAAGCCAAGAACCAACTATTGCAGCAAAAGATATGAAAAAAGAAAGCCAAGGATAAAGCCCTTGAACAGATGAAACAACGCTGGCAAGACAAACCTCTGCATGGCCAATATCCAGAACGTGCAAATAAACCCAATGTTGATAAAGTTAATACTCATCGATGGTTACGAGCATCTGGATTAAAGTCTGAAACTGAAGGCTTTATTCTTGCAGCGCAAGACCAGAGTCTTTTCACTAGGAATTTTCAGGCAAATATCATACATAATAATGTGGATCCAAAATGCAGGTTCTGTGACAAATACCAAGAAACAATAGACCATCTAATCTCAGGATGTTCTATACTTGCCCCAAATGAATATAAAAAATCGTCACGATAGAGTGGGGCAATACTTACACTGGACAATGTGCAAACACTTTGGAAAATGTGTAAGCAAACACTGGTATGAACATCGGCCAGCGCCGGTTACAGAAATAGAAGATGTCACCATTCTATGGGATTATACCATCCACACAGACAGAAAAATTGAAGCAAATAGGCCGGACATTATTGTCAAAAACCAGAAAGAAAAAAAACTTGCCTACTAATTGATATGGCTTGTCCAGCGGATTGTAACATAGCAACCAAGGAATTTGAAAAACTATCAAAATACAAAGACCTGGAAATTGAAATAGAAAAAATGTGGAAATTGAAAACAAGAATAATACCAGTGGTAATAGGTGCACTTGGAATTATAAAAATGGAACAAAACAACACATTGAAAGAATCCTGAAACCCCAGCTTAAGAGACATACAGAAAATTGTCTTATTAAGTACAGCACACACACTAAGGAGAACTTTGTCTATGTAACGCTAGCAACTTCATCGGAGATAAAAAAAAAAAAAAAAAAAAAAAAAAAAACATGAAATGTGGCCATAACAACACACCACGACCTGCCTTAGGTCTTTCCGCAGACTTGGTAGGTAGTGTGTCCATAGCAGAAATCGAATAATAATAATGATGAAATAATAATAATAATAATAATAATAAACAAACATAAAAATGTATCGACAAACAAAAAGGAAGAGAATTAAAGAAAAATGAGAGACGTTTTTGACCAAATATAGACCCAAAATAACGATTAATATATCCTCCTATAAATTTTTAATTTTCAAGACCTGATAAAAATCGTAACATGCACAGAAATTCAGGAAGTGTATGAAAATTAACATAGAATATCTGAGAGAAATCACCTTTTATTAAAATCATCGAAAAGTGTCCAAATAAAAAATCTGAGTTCAGATTAACAGGAACATGTAGAATGAAGAAAAAAGAAAAAAAAATAAACATTTGATTGTTCTGGGCCTATTTCGTTTAAAAGGAATGGACAATTTTTTTACATTTGCCCAATTGATGTAAGGTTATTAGAATATCGCCCTTATATGAAAAAATCTCATATACTAAGAAAAATGCTATCAAATGACAATTCTCCAATACATAAAGAATATATAGTTTAGACCCGGCTACAGAATGATAATAAGACATAAATATCACAAATTCGTTAAATAATAATAATAAATAATAAAAATAATAATAATAATATAATTTAAACATTATCATGAAGGTATATATAAAAATTTGATTGCAGGTGTACAGATTACAAATATTTATCCAGATAAATTTTAAATGCCAGACAATAAATATTCCGTTCAGTAAAATAGATTTAGGTCATTTGTTTAATAATCGGTACGACCATGTTTTCAGATGTGATAAAAGTGAAAAAGGAATCTCTGTTCATGAGAGCTTGAACAATGGCCGGGTGTCGAGATTTTTTTTTTTTTTTAATTTAAAGTATGAGATAAACTTCTAGATAATTGGGGAGGCCCCAGTTTGAGACCGTCGCAGTGGATTAGATTCTCTCACATGAAAGTATTTCTGAGGCCCACTTTTAATACTATGCGTTACTTTTATCAGATCATCTCACCATATCGTGCCAATTTGGCTTTGATGCATGTTCCTAGTATCATATATTTGTAAACTCAGTATCGATCTGTTGGCGTAATGCTCTCTTAATAATAATTATTATTATATTAATAATGATGTATAGTTGGCCACTCGTATGCGAGGATACTCATTTATTAGGGTGGCTAGACAATCCCTATTGCAGACGCTGGCTCAGGCGCATTTATGTTTATTCAACAACCACAGAGTCCACCTATGATTTATACCTTACCTATGCTGAAACCTAAGTTACACTTTCTGGGATAGAGCGTCATCAACACGATGACTTGTGACTTCGTACTGGCACGGGTATCGACGGTTCCCGACGGTTCTGTCTACCCAATCTCACTCACAAGGCTTGGGTCAACCTGTGGCATGGTTTCCAGGCACTTTCTAATCCCTCCTGTCCGATAACATCAGGAAGAAGACTTCCTGACAAATGGACCATGGTGAGATTCAAACCAAAAAATCATTGTCAGAATGCGAACGTTCTAACCGAGTCTGGATTATTTTTTATTATAACCACTCGGCCACATGCACAAATAATAATAATAATAATAATAATAATAATAATAATAATAATAATAACCCAACCCGGTTAGTTTCTAGAACTTTTCAAATTTTTATGAGAATTTTACAATATACAGAAAATCAAAGTTAATCGTCCAGACATCGTGATCAAAGACCAACAAAAACAGAATGTTCTTTTTTGACATGGCAGTCCATGCAGATTGAACAGTATGTTTTTAAGTCGTTGGTAGAAAGGCGATGAAATTATGGAGGACCATGATCGCCCACGAAGAATACGTTATATAGGAAAATAAAAATAACAAAACAAACGATGCAATAAAATGATAATATCAGCTAAAATACAGTACCAGGAGATGAAGGAGGTCTCTATTCTTGTTAGAAGAAGAAGAAGAAGTAGAAGAAGATTTCTGAGAAGAAAGAAGATTTTCAAGAAGAAGAAGAAAAATCAGAAGAAGAAGAATAAGAAGAAAAAAAAGAAGAAGTAGAAGTTAGAAGAAATGGTTAAGAAGAAGAAGAAGATCTGTGAACTTTAAGGGAAACAAAAATGGGTAAAAATATATTACGAAAAAAAAAACTGGAGTCTTCATTACTATTCTCGCTACCTGTTGTTAATGCAACGTGAGGCCAAGTATAGTTCCCTCTCTCATCGTTATCCAACAACGACGAACATTTTATTCAAACGAACTGAAACCAATTAACCACAATTGGCGACAAGGGCAGATGTGAAGATCAAAATTTTAATTAAGCATATTTTTTTCCTTTTACCCACTTTTCATGCAACCGTTTCTCTCTCTCTCTCTCTGTCTCTCTCTCTTTCTCCATTCCCCTCTTTCTTTCTCCTTTTTCCACCTTTGTTTCCTTTCTTTTCCACTGATCATCTTTCAAGGCAATATCCTTGAGTCTTTTAATTTACCTATTCTATCAATTCTTACCGCTTCTTTACACCATTCTTACTATTATGATTATTCTATCAATTCACTTCTTTTATTTTCCTACAGTAGTACCATTACTCCCTCTCCTCAGAATTTTGTGTTCCCATGCAAATATCCAGTTTATCTATCCTCACCTTCATCTATTCTGTTCAATTTATTATCCCTCAACCATTATCCAGTATTTTAAATCTCTTATTTGTTTTTCTCTTTTCGTGCGTCACTATCCTTACTTTTTTTCTTTCTTCGTCTTCTCCAATAGTTTAATTAATATATCCATTCTTTCTGTCCTCTTTGGTTAAGTCGCTCTCAATATACCTTCTTTCCCGCTCTTTTTTTTTTTAACTTTTCAATCGTTTTTATTTATTTATAATATTTTCTGTTTATATCTCTTCTTTTTCCGCGTTTTTTTTTTTTTTTTTTCTCAGTGATAAGACTTTTACACATCTGTCTTTCTCTCTCTTTATATCTCTTAATACTTTTTTTTTCTTTAAGTATTTTTCTTTTTCTCCAATTTTATCCCTCGTAAAATGTTCGTTACATAATCATCTTTCTGTCTCCATCTCTTTTCTTTGACGTCATTTAAACCAGTCTCTTTACTTTTTCGCTCCAACTTACTCTCAGTTAAACTGTTTCTCTCGCTGAGTTTTTCTTTTCTTCTCTTTAATCTTTCATTTACTCTCTAACAGTTTTTTTTTTCTCTCAGCTTCTCGCTCTTATTTTTTCTGCCTTTTTTTTAGCTTTTGACACATGTTGCCTTATAGAAACTCCCTTTTTTCTCATTAACATTCTTTTATTTTTTCTTTCCTTTCATTTCTACATCTTTTCTCTTCCTTTCTCTTTCTTCCTCTCTCTTTTCTTTAGTGTTCTCTTCTTTTTCTCTTTTCTCTATCGTTATTTTCCTTTCGCTCTCTTTTCTCTGATGTCGCCATAGTGTGTGTAAGCATGAATGACTAATAACATTGCCGGTTTGGGAATAATTTGAGCCGAATTGGCCCTTAATTGAGGAAATAACATGGCTCCCAAGAAAAAAAGATCAATTGGAAAAAAGAGCGGGAAATAGCAAAAGATTCAATGAAGCAGGCGATCCCAAAAACTCTCAAAGGAAAAAAAAAAAGGATAGAAAATGAGAGAAAAATTAACAAATACTATCAACAAAGTAGCTTTTAATCTGACTGCTAATACGACAACTACATTGCAAGAAAAGATAATGAATAAAGGGTATCAGTTTTAATAATTTGAATGAAAGAAGTGCTGTAGGGCATTCTACTACTATTAGTACCACTACTACTAATAAAAATAATACAAAGAAGAAGAAGAAGAAGAAGAAGAAATGTAAGGAAGAAAGAATAAATAATTAGAACCATAAAAAGAAACGACAACAATTTCAACATGAAAATAGAATTGAAAATATAAGCGTGCAAAACGTGATGTCACTTAACTTAGAAGAAAACTCAAACATTTCTATCGTAAATAATTCCAATAGCAAGCAGAGCTGAGCGATGTTAACAGTAGTATTAATAAGGGCAAAAATGCTTCTCTTTTTCTAATCTTGCATAAGTAAATAAATAAATAAATAAACGGAGGCTATCAGAAAACGATAGAATTCTGTGAGATCTTTAGTGTCATTTGACATTTAACAAGACCCACGAAAGAACTGTAACAGTATTACATAAATAAGTAATCGATAATGGAATCAAGAATCAATGCATTCGTTCAAATAGATCCAAGAGAACATAAAAGCTAAGATTTCAATACTATTTTGAAAGCCTCATTGATTATGAATCGAAATATTTATGCGGCAATTCATAATTCCTGAATTTATCGAAAGACATACGGTATATTTTCCAGGTTTGACATTCTTTCCAGCTCATCCTAACTTTGTTGAATTTGATAGTCTTGGGAGTTTGACCTTTCGATTATATATGACTCTCATCATATCTATCTATCTATCTATCTATCTATCTATTTCTACTTATTTTTGGCATTTCGTTCCCTATCTATCTATCTATCTAACTATCTATCTAACTATCTATCAGTCTATTTCTACTTATTTTTGGCATTTCGTTTCCTATCTATCTATCTATCTATCTATCTATCTATCTATCTATAATGCCTTCCTACCTGCCTGCCTATATATATATATATATATATATATATGTGTGTGTGTGTGTGTGTGTGTGTGTATGTGTATATAATACTTGGGCCTCATTTACCTTTATAATGGCCTCAATTCAACTTTTTTATTTCTATCTATCTATCTATCTATCTATATATATATATATATATATATATACATATATACACATACGCACATATATATTTATATATACACACACACCTATTTATCTATCTATCTACATATATATATATATATATATATATATATATATATATATATACCGAGTTTGACCCTCTTTCCCTTGATATTACCATACTTCAAGTCTTCTCCAGAATGATTCTACGATGTCTGGAAATAAAAATTTGATCTCTACCTTTATTATGATATTTAGTAATTGTTCTAGATTGTTGCAATGGATATCCATGATTCGAATCTTCCTTTCAATCATATGACAAAGTTGCTTAATTTAATATGTTTTGCTTCTATAATCGCGCCGATTCAATTTAGATTTCTTTTCTTTTTTTTTCCTAGTCTTCAATCGCTATTGTTAGTAAATCTCCTTTACTGTGGTAATAGATCTGCTAAGAAACGTTGTAAAAACTTAGATGCAGATGGATTCCTAATCATAATTGGTTTCAGTCTCGTCAGGGTGAGCAACTGATACATTTAATATGTGGTTTTGTAAAACATCTCTTTGTGTTAATATAACTGTTTATTTAAATTTCTTGAGGTTTCACCTATGTATTTTGTGTGACAATTAAAATCATATTTAATTCACTACGACAGGGAGCATTTGCCGACCTGTTATATGTACTATGGTATTTGCTGCCTTGCAATGTAAGCTTGAATCCGTTGTGACAATGTCATAGATAAATTCTACACTGAAGATATCATCTTTTTTGAGGAAGAAGGACAAAATGACTCTGTGGACGATAACGGTATTGAAATTGAGCAGACACTTCTAAGACGTTGAAAACTTAGACATAACTCTGCTGGTATTTGTTTTAAACAATCACTGGTAATTATCTATGTGAATGTTTTAAAAAAACTGCGAAAGATCTCTTTCTCTTACTGGTTTCTTTGGACCAGGGTTGTTGCATACTACACACGAACACCCAACCGGTGAGAGGAGGCGAGTCTGATAGGGCGTAGTGCTTTTTGGCCGTCTCCATCTTATCAGCATTTGCATTTTTCTACTTAAATTTATATACGTTACAATTTAAACCAAGCAAAACTGATGGTTAAAGGTTGTAATTTTTTCACGGATTTTGATGTCGTTCTGGGAGGCGGACAAAACCATTGAATTTGTTTTGCTCAAGCTAAGTATAAAAAATACTATAGAAATATCACTATTTTTATCCATAATATTTAACAAAGAAAAAATCACGTGTATGTTAAAAATTCCTCAAATTTTGTTGAATTTTAAGATGGAATTATATATTATGACATGTCTGTAACTTGTAGTTAGATGTATTTATTCTGAATTATTCAGTTTGAGATATATAACTATATTGTCACTCATGCATTATTGTATGTAAATTAATTAAAATCAAATTTGTATCTCATATGGATATTACCTTATGAAAATTCAGAATAGTAGAAAGGGGTCCTTCTCATAGATTCCACTGGGTTTCACGCTATTTGCAATCGTCAGTGTTTTTTTTTTTTTTTTTTTTTTTAAAACCAAGCAAGGCGATAATGCAACTAACAGGTGTTATTGAGAGTGAAAGTTAAAGAGAAAACTGAGAATAGTGTGGATTGGGGAAAGGAAAAAAAAGATGAAAATGCCAATTGACCTTCCATTTACATTTTTGAAAGTTGCAGTTATCAGGGAAGCTAGGGAAGGGAAGTGAGTTCCACAGATTGGAATTTCGCATAAAGAAACTTTCAGAATTAAATATAGGTTATACACTTCCAAATATTTTGAAGAACATGAGATGAAGATGTTTAATAATTGCGTTTCGTGTATAGTTCGCACCTGTAAATTTCAAACTTAAACGTTTATAGAAACTGCCCATCACACACATACAATTATAGCATTGATTTCGATGGTATATAAGAGCTTAATTAAACACTGAATGACCAGCTTCCTGTGTATGTGTATTGTCTTTTTGATATAATAATAGTGGGTGTTTGAAATCCACGTTTCATAGTCAATATTTCAAATGCTGCTTTTTTTTTTTTAAATGTAAGCTTTCCTAGTTGGGGTAAAGAAATCATTGTGGGCTGTATTTTTTAAAAGCTTTGTAAATGTTAGTTTTCATTAACACATCGTGTTTAACACAGGCTGAAACAGCTTGACCAATATTTTAAAAGAAACTGTCTGCGTTCATTTTCTTGAGAAGTCGATAGGAGTTGGTAGAAGGTGTAATTTAACGGTAAAACTCACGCGAGGAAGAAATTTTCCTCGGCATTAAGCCAATTACATTGCTAAATTTGCTTCGAATTGCGAATAATTAAAAAGCGATTTATGTAAAAGAAAAAAAATATCCTAATGTTGAAAAATACTCTGAAGGAATCGTCGACAAATTGAAAAGCAATTAAAATTTCTGGGATTGAATTTTATCTTTTCTTGTGCGAAAGTCGCCCTCGCAAGTGATTCGGAATTCGACAAAAGATTTGGTTTCTTCTGTTTCTTGTTTCAATTCATATTAAACTGGACACGACTGTAATTTCATTCGAAATATTTATTAAGCTTCTTTGACTGTTCTTGTGATAATGAATTGACGTGCGATAGGGCTGTAATTCCAGGCGACGCCTAGGCGACACACACACACACACTCACATGCACACCCACAAACACACATATGAAAAGAATCGGAGACCCCAGTTCGAATTCCAGTCGAATCAATTACATTCACTTTCGTGCTAATATCCTTGGGAAAGGTATGAAACTTCTTCTTTTCCCCCCATCTATGGGTAAGTAGCAGGACAGACCGGGTTCTATAGCCTTGGATGGTAACTGGTCTACCGCAGAAAGAATTGGCAACCTACTGCGGGGAGAAAAAATCTGACACGTCAGTCATGCATTGAAAGGTACATGATCGCCTAAGCGTGTATCACACATAACTGACTGATAGAAGGAACCGGAAACCAACCCCTAAAAATGATGTCTGTGTGTGTCTGTATGTGTGTGTGTGTGCGTGTTTGTTTGTAAGCGGTATTTAATACAATACTAGACCAGGAAACGTTTTAAAAATTCTGCAATGGTCTCTTTTTCGCTTTTTGCTGTGTATGAAATCAAGGAAGGTACATGTCCCAAAAGGTAAAGAGTGCAGAGCGGCTTCCCTTTTTGGCGTCATTCTCTATACTGAAGAATACATGAACTGGGCCACGTAACACACTCAAGTAAAAAAGAGGAACTATATTAACTCAACAGGGGCTTAATGGGTTTGTGAATATTGTAACCGATTCTGCTCATAGCTTTCTCAGCTGAATGTCACTTTAGGTATCATCTACATAGACAACAGACTGAATATAAATGATACCATCAGGTAGAGGACTAGGTCATTATCTTTTGTTATAAGTAATGTTAGAATAAGTTTGATGTTAACAATCACAGGAAGGTATTTAATATCAGCCATGAAAATATGAAGGAGATACACGCGAAGATAGCGGGCCACAAGCTTAGGACATTGGCTGGCAGAACGGGCAGTAGGGCTGGGGGTAAACAAAATACATGACTAAGTGTTACAAAGGATAGGAAGACGAGGAAGAACCATTATCCCTAACGTCTTGAAAAGTTAAGGAACATAATAGAAGAAGGCAAGAGAATACATTTATTAAAAGTTTATAGATTTAATACTTGCTACAAATCATCTTTGATATTTTGGCAACTAATTTCCCTGAGGTAAAAAGTGATGCAGGTTCGATTCCTGTCGGAGGTAGAGTTTTGCTTTAGCATGACATTTAATAAAATAGAATACAAAGCAATGGTAACAACTCAAATACCATCCACTAGAAACAGCGAACGAAAAGTTTCTTGGATTGAAATATGGGAGGGACGTTTGAATTATACATCTCCAAAAGATGAAATGATGGATTCAGCCGTTTAAAGACGCTTATATATATTCATCAGGTTAATTGAAATGTCTAAGTATTTAAATCATAGATTATGTCATTTAGTACACTCAAAAAAGAAAAACACTTTTTTTATTATTGAAATTTGGGATGGATGTTTGAATTATACATTTCCAGAAATTGAAATGATGGATTCTCTCGTTTTTCTTTGATTTTTCAATCCATTTCTTTTATGTTGGTCTGGGAAAGTAGTAATTCTTCAGGGAAGGTGAAATTGGAAAAAAAAAACCCGGCTGTACACTGATATTTTGATAATATACGATCGCGGAACACTCGAGGATTTTTTCTTCTTTTTTTTCCCTTTTTCTTTCTATTTTCGTTTTCGAGTATGCTAAATGACGTATTCTAAGGTTTAAATGACTATACCTTTTTTTTAATCTATTACTGAACGTGTTTAAATTTAAAAATTTCCATTAGAAGATGCCATATGACGTAAGCAAGTATCTAACACCTAAATATTTTCAGTTAACTTGCGGAATATTTATGAGCGTTCTTACATTGTGAATAACTGTAAAATATATAATTGTCGCAAAATAAAAACATTACATTTGCCTTGATAAAATCCGTC